TTTCTGTTATTATATTCCTTCCCTTCTGCTTTTTTTCTCATTTTGTTAAATGATTTTTATTTTATTTTTAAAGACAGATTCTCTTTCTGTCTCTCATGCCTCCCCTTCCTCTTCCCATTGAGAAAGCAAGTAAAACAATTCATTTTACAAATAACTCAGAGTTTTTTAAGATGGTTGTTGATACCTTGAATTTCTTCCCTTGCAAGCTGCCTGTTCGTATATATCTGCTCTTACCTTTGACTAGGCCACTAGGTGGCGAAATTGGTACCATGTGGAACTTAGAGTGAGAAAGATTAAGCTCTAATCGTGTCTTACTTTGTGTGATCTTGGACAAGTTACTTAACCTCTCTCTGCCTCAGTTTCCTCACCTATAAAATGGGAATGATAATAATAACTACCTACAGGTTTGTTTTGAGGCTCAAATGGTGCTATAGGAATGCTTTCTGTTGCTCAGTTGGCCCCACTTGGGGTTTTCTTGGCAGAGACACTGGGGTGGTTTGCCATTTCCTTCTCCAGTTCATTTTACCAATGAGGAAACTTAGGCAAACAAGGTGAAGTGACTTGACCAGGGTCACACAGCTAGTAAGGTCTGAGGCCGTATTTGAACTCAGGAAGATGAGTCTTCCTGACTCTAGGCTGGTCACTGTGCCACCGAGCTACCCCATAGGAATTATTATTGTTGTTGTTGTTCCATTTCTGTCTTGGGAATAACTCTCATTCTTATATATTCATATCATACATCCTGAACATCAAACTTTCTCAGAGAAATTTGCTGCAAGATTTTTTCCCAATGAACTATTTCCCTATTAATTTTCATAGAATTGATTTTATTTGTTTAAAAACTTTTTAATTTTATGTAAAAAAAAATCCTCCAGTAAATATTCTGGGCCACTAAAAAATTAAACAAAAGGAGTATTTCCATGTGCAAAGTAGAACAGAAAAAAAAAAGGATTATATGTGAAGTCACAAATCTCTATCACATAAATCTCTATTACACAAATCTCTATAGCTTTTTTTTCCTTTTAAGGATAGATTAAAGATGTTCTTCTTGTCTGTTTTTCCTTCTGGTCTTCTATATGTTCTCTTCTGCTGTTTTTTTTTAAATACTGTTCTCTTTTCTTTTCTTCCTTTTTTTGCTTTTTGACAGCCTCATCCTTTGCCCCTCTCTTCATTCCATCTCTCTTCCAAAAACAATTTTTGAGGGAAAAAAAGAAATAGAAAACCTTTGTAACAAATATGCATAGTCAAGCCAAACAAATCCTCACATTGACCATGTCCTAAAATGTATGTCTCATTCTGCCCTTGGAGTCTATCTCCTTTCCATCAAGACAGGGGAAGGGAATAACCACTTTTTAAATGTCTGCTATGTGCCAGGCACTGTGCTAAACATTTTACAAATATTATCTCACTTGAGCCTCACAACAACCTTAGGAGGTAGGTACTATTATTATCCCCATTTCACAGTTGAGGAAACTGAAGCAGACAAAGATAATATGACTAGCCCAAGGTCACATAGCTACTACTGAGGTCAGATTTGAACTCAGGTATTCACAACCTCAGGTCCAGCACTCAATCTGCTGTACCACCCATCTGCCTCTAGAGTAGATAGCACATTTTATCCTGAGCCCTCAGAAATTGTGATTGGTCATTGAGTTGATCAAAGTTCTTAAGTTGTTCAAAGTTGTCTTTGCAATTTTGATTTTATTGTATAAATTGTTCTTCTGCTTCTTCTTCATAGTGCGCCACTTCATACAAGTCTTCCAAGGTTTCCCAGGTAGGAGTCAAAGTTAATGGAGTTCTAGAACTAGAGTCAACAAGCATTTATAAAGCCCTTAGATGCTCCAGGCCCAGTGCTAAGTACTATGAATACAAATGCAATCAGAAATAACAAAGTATTCCTTACCCTCAAGGAGCTTACATTCTAATGAGAAAGACAAGGCATAAAAGGAAAAGTTGAAAGGAGGAGCAGGTGTGAAGAGTACTTCCAACATGTGAATTCATGAGAGAATGTTGTTTGTCCTGGTTTTTGATGTCTTAATCTGCAGGCGAATTGAATTAAAAGGCAGGGTTGAAGAAGTCATCAGTCTCACTTTCTCTTCCAGAGTCATTGAAGTCAAGTAGCAGGACAGATGTCCAGAAGACTGGTGATGACCCAAGATGCAGTGGATGACCTTGGCCTTTGTAAATAAAGGTCTTTCCAGGCCTCAGTTTGTCTAAGGCAATACTCATTCAATGACTAAGGGCTAGATCAGAATTGAGGCAAAAGTTGGTCTAATTTACCATCACAAAATATCTAAGTAATGTACATATATATGTATATATATGTATATATATAATATATATTTTTATTTATATATAATATATATTTTTAATTTATATATAATATATATATTTAGAGAAAGAGAGAGAGAGAGAGAGAGAGAGAGAGAGAGAGAGAGAGAGAGAGAGAGAGAGAGAGAGAGAGTTGTTCAGTCATTGACTCTTTGTGACTCCATTTAGGATTTTCTTGGCAAAGATACTGAGGTGGTTTGCCATCTCTATCTCCAACTCATTTTATAGATGAGGAAACTGAGGCAAACAGGGTTAAGTAACTGGCTTGGGGTCACCTAGTTAGTAAGTGTCTGAGGCCAGATTTGAACTCTGGGAGATAAGTCTTTCTGACTCCAGGCTGGTCACTCTATCACTATGGCACCACCTAGTTGCCCATTAGGAAGGTTTTCCTTCCATAAAGTTTCCATTTTTTGTCTTGGAACCTGGCACCCAATGCTTCTCACTCTGCCCTCTAGGGCCAAGCTGGTCAAATCTAAGCCCTCCATCAAAGCATAGCCCTTCAGTAGAACAAATGGCAGTCAAAAAAGCATAGGACTTGAGAGTTAAAAGACACTAACCCTAATACCCTTGGACAAGACAAGTCCTTTCCCTTCCCTCAGTCTCAGATTCCTCATCTCTTAAATGAGGTTAACAACACTGGCACCATCTATTTTAGAGGATTGTTGTAAAGAGGAGCTTGGCAAAGCCTATATACGTGTAAGCTGTAATTACATTTAATGACTATGTGCTTGGCTAATGCCCAACTTGTTTGACTGGGTTAAGAGGAAGTGGTTTGTCTGCATTATGAAAACAAACTACTACCTAGGCTCCCAACAATTACTCAATTGTCCTCTCCCTAGCCAGACATTATGATTGCAAAAAAAGACAAAAACAAAAACAAGCTCGTAGGCTTTGCGCTGAGGCAACACTGGGGCATGAGTTGATAAGGTCCAGAATGTCCAGAATGAAGCAATGATCACTAACCCTTCAAACGCGACCATGGACATGAAGGAACATGGAGAACATCTGGAAAATGTTTGGGTTCCGCCCATCATGTCTTTGCACCTAGACTTGGTGGGGTGGCCAAGGAGAGGAAAGAGAAGATAGAGAGTGTTTGCAGCTTCCTTAAAAACTAGACTACTAGATTATTATTTCCTGATACATCTTCATCGTGGAATCACAGAACCTCAGACCCAGAAAGGACCTTAGAGGCCATCTACCCCCACCCATGCCTGAACCCCCTCTACAAATAACTACAAATGGTCATCCACTTGTTTAAATACTTCTGGTTACAAGGAACCCACTGCCTTCTGAAGCACCTCATTTAATTCTGGGATAGCTCTTAACTGTTAGGAAGTTTTTCTTTACATTGAGCCAAAATCTACCTCTTTATCACTTCTAGCCATCACTCCCACTTCCCCAAAGGAGTGTAAATACTCTAGGGCAGATGATAACAATAGCTCACATTTACAGAGCATTTTAAAGTTAGAAAGTGGGGACATCAACAAAACAGATAGCCAATAGCTAAAGAGTAACCAAACACATTTTGGATTTTGTTGTTCAGTTGTTTTCAGCCATGTCCGACTCTCTGTGACTCCCGTTTGGGGTTTCCTTGGCAAAGATACTGCAGTGGTTTGCCATTTCCTTCGCCAGTTCGTTTTACAGATGAGGAAACTGAGGCAAACACAGGGTTAAATGACTTTCCCAGGGTCACACAGCTAGTAAGTGTCTGCGGCTGGATTTGAACTCAGAAAAATGAGTCTTCCTGACTCCAGGCACAGTGCTCTATCCATTGTGCTACCTAGTTGTACCCCCCAACCTTGTCCCTCAATCCCATATCCCTACATAAATATGCCATTCCCCAATTAATGGGCACCTTTTTGTTTCCAATTCTTTACAAATATTTTCATACGCCTGGGTCTTTTTCTCTGGTCTTTTATATGTATGATGTATATATCTAGAAGTGATACCACTAGGTCAAAAGATAGAAGTTTAGTGATTTGAGGGAGTATTATTCCAAATCACTTTCCAGAATGGTTAGACTAATTTATATGCAGCAACACTGCATTAGTGTGTCTGTCTTTCCACAACCCTTCCAACAACTATCACTTTCCCTTTTTGGTCATCTTTGCCCATCTAATATATTGCAAGACAGAGCTGTTTTAATTTTCGTTTCTTTTATTATTAGTGATTTTGGGTTTTTTATATGTTTAGTGGTAGCTTACATTTCTTCTTTTGAAAACTGCTTATCAAAAAAATTTGTTTATCCATATCTTTTGACCACTTCTCCATCAGGGAACTTCTCTTGTGCTGGTATATTTGTTTCAATTCCTTATACATCCTGACTAGCAAATGTTTCTCATGAGAAATTTGCTGCAATGAATTTTCTCTCCAGGTAACTGTTTCTTCTAATTCTAATTTGTTGGCATAAGACTTTTCAATTTTATTTAATAAAAAAAAAATCATTTGTATCTTTTAGGACCATCTCTGGTTCTTGTTTGATCCAGAACTGTTCCTCATCCATAGTTGTAAAAGACATCTCCTTTCCTTCTCCTCTAATTCCACAATGTAAATGTAAAGAACAACCATAAAAAGGAAAGAAAATGAAACTGAAAGCGGTGTAATTACAATGATCAAATGTAGGCCCAGAGAAGAGTTGTAAAAATGTACCACCCTTCTATTTTTTGCAGACGTTGGGGATTACAGAGGAGGAACTTCGCTCAAACTGTTGGACCTGTCTGATGCGTTGGTTAGGTTTTGCTGAATTGCTTTTTTTTCATCTGTGTTTTTTTTTTAATTTATTGTTATGAGGGAGGAAGGGATCATTGGGCAAGGGAGAGGGAGGGACATGTTAGGAAATACAGGTAATGTAAAAGAAAATTGATAAAAATCTATTTTTAAAAGTGTTTTCTTTTGAACTGTTTCCCAACAACCTTGTGTGGTTGGGGAGCCTGACCTTCAGAGAGAGGAAGTAACTTGTGCCAGCATCCCACCTCTAGTAAGCTCTAGAGCTAGGAGCTAAACCCCGGGGTCCTAACTGGAGGCAGCCATAGTAAGCTACCTCTAGATGGGGCACAGTGCTGGGCAGGCGGGAGAGCCAGCATTCGACCATTCCCCAGTACCTAACTTGCACATATTTTATTGTGGTGCAGGGGTATGACCATGTCACACAATCCAGACCTTGCAAGTCATGGAGTTCAACTCCTCTCATTTTACAGATGAGAAAATGAAAGCCCAGAGATGAAGTGACTTGCCCAACATCACGCAAGTAGGATCATAAATCATAGATTTAGGCCTAGAAGGCACCTTAGAAACTGCCTAATTCAATCCCCTTATTTTACAGTTGAGGAAACTGAAGCCCACAGAAATGAAGTGCCCAAGGTCACACAGGTCTTGAGTGTGAACTAGGAATTGAACTACATCTCCTTCCATTCACGTCCAGAATTTTTGCCACTATACTATGAAAAGGAATCAGAAAGATCTTGGACTAAAAGCCTTAATGCTCATCACAAGCCATTCAGTCTCTTTGAGCTTTAGTCTCTGCATCGCTAAGATGTGAATAATAATGATGCCTCTCTGAGAACCACGGGTGGTAGGTATCCTTTGCCCAGCCTCCATCTGCCACAGAGGGAACTCTGTGCTCTCAGTCAACTCCTATAGCTCAGGAGAGCAAATCCCAGTCTGGAAGACCTGAGTTCAAGGTCCTCTTCTGACTTATGACTGACTAGGTCACAACAGTGACCCAGGGCAAGACAATGAACCTCTCGATCTCCTGAATAATTCCTAAAGACCACAAGTTGCAAAACAATTGCTGATTTATATTAGTAGAGGGAATTTTTTCACCTGGAAGTTCCTAGTACCAGGTCACTCCAGGGATGGCAGTTATGGCATTTGGAGTTGGTACCCTCTATCCTAGCCAATCAAGTCACAAATCCAAGCCATAAACAGATAGATAGATAGAGAGATAGAGAGAGAGAGAGAGAGAGAGAGAGAGAGAGAGAGAGAGAGAGAGATGGATGGATAGATGAATAAGTAAATAAATAGGAAAACCTACCCCATAGGGTTGCTGAGAAACTCAAATTAGAAAATGTATGTAAAGTGTTGTATAAATATCACTTGACATTGCTAACCTCTGAACCCTTAGACAGAGAATAATTGAAAAATAAGAAATCCTCACATATATTTAAAAGTTCCCAGTCTGAAAGGGGTAATCAGAAAGAAGTACTTCTGAGGAGGGACAGGGTCAAAAGAAAGAATAGAATAAATGGGGGGGGCGGATAGGATTAAGGGAAATAGAGTTAGTTTGTCACAACACGTCTACTATGGAAATGTTTTGCATATATGGCCTGTATTAACTTACTTTCCTTTTCAATGAGAGTGGGTGGGGTGGGAGGAAGGGAGAAAATTTGAAACCCAAAGTTTTAAAAAGAGATGTTTAAAAAAAATGTTTCCACATGCAACTGGGAAATAAGAAATACAGGAAATGAGGTACAGAAATCTATCCTGCCCTACAGGAAAATAGAAGAGGAAGGGGATAAGAGAAGGTGGGGGAGAGATAGAAGGGAGGGCAAACTAGGGGAAGGGGCATTCAGAATGTATGCCATCTTGGGGTGGGGAGGGGCAAGATGGGGTGAAAATTTGGAATTCAAAATCTTGTGGAAGTAAATGTTGAAAACTAAAAATAAATAAATTTATATTTAAAAAAAGAACACAAAAATAAATAAATAAATGAATGAATGAATGAATGAATGAATAAATAAATAAATAAATAAATGGGAGTTCCCAGTCCTGGGGGCTCACTTTCATCCTAGAAGCCATTATTATGGTTATATTGGCCATTGGTCCAGCCCCATATCCAACCTCTAATCAGGTTCCTGTTCAAGAAGGAAGCAAAGCTAATAATAACCATTGTCTTGAAATGAATTTCCATCCCAGCTAGGTACTTTCTGTGTTATAAAGGTAACACATTAAAAATAACTGACATGAATAGAAGTAATTAAAATACTTTTAAAAAAATTAAATAACTGACATGAATATAGTACTTTCAGAACCCTTTATATACCTTTTCTTGCTTAACTTTCACAACAGGTATTGCTGTTCCCATTTTGCAGATGAAGAAACTGAGACTCAATCAAGTTGACAAATCAACAATTAAGAATTTACTATGTGCCAAGGAGAGGCTCAGAGAGGCCCTCAAAAGCAAAGACTTGCTCATAACAGTAAGGGTCAGAGGTGAGATTTGAACTCATGCCTAATGCCAGGTCCACTGTACCACATATCACATATCATGCTATATCACACTGCCTTTTCAGGTTCAATGAGACCACACCCAACAAAGGCCAGCTCTTCTATATGATACATTGGGAAAGGGGCTGGTTTGGAAGTCAGAAGACCAGAGTTCAAATTATGACCTGTTCTGTCTTGGAGTAGTCACTTAACTGTTCTGGTTCTCAGTTTCCTCATTGTGAAATGATAGAATTACACTCATTAGCCTCTAAGGGTGTCTTCAACTCAAAGCCTATGATCTTATTATCTCCAGGACCAGATTTGGTACCTATATCTTACTATGAGTAATAATAGAAGCAGCTCAGTGCTTCAGTGGCTAGAGTGCTGGACCTGCAGCCAGGACAAATGGATGCTGACTGGCAGCCAGGTCCCTTGCTCCAGCCACTGGAGTCAGGAAAACCTGAGTTCCAATCCCACCTCAGAAACTTACTACCTATGTCACTCTAAGTAAGTCCCTTAACTTCTGTTTCCCTCAGGTTCTTCATCTGTACAATACGGATAATGAAAGCATCTGCTTCACAGGACGTTGTAAGGATAGAATGGAAAATACTTGTAAAAACGCTCTGCAAACCTTAAAGTACTATATAAATACTTATTATTGTATTGTTAGTAGATATAATAATTACTATAGCAAATTTAAGGCTTGCAAAAAAATTTTCAACAAAACAAGAAATAGACTTTTTTTTATCTTTCCTTCTCTTTTTTCCTTTTCTAAAAATTTATTTTTTACATTCTTTTTTTAAAATCTTGAGTTCCAAATTCTCTCCTTTTTTCCAGCCCCTCCCCTACCCATTGAGAAGCTAAGCAACACAATATCAATTGTACATATGAAATCATGCAAAACATGTTTCCATATGAGTCTTGTTGGAAAAAAAAGACAAGGAAAATAAAGAAAGCAGAAAAATACGTGCTTCAATTTGCCCTCAGAATTCATCAGATCCCTCTCTGGAGGTGCATAGCATTTTTCACCATGAGTTCTGTGGAATTGTCTTGGATCATTATATTGATCAGAGTAGCTCAATCTTCCGCAGTTGATCATTGTTACAATATTGCTGTTACCGTGTACAATGATTTCCTAGTTCTGTTCACTTTACTTTGCATCGGTTCATTTGTCTTCCCAGGCTTTTCTGAAACCATCCTGATCATTTCTTATAGCACAATAGAATTCCATCAGCAGCATGTGCTGTAACTTGTTCAGTCACTGAGGCATGATGATACCCTAATCATGAGAGTATCCCTTCAGTTTCCAATTCTTTACCACCACAAAAAGAGCTGCCATAAATATTTATGTACATATAGGTCTTTTTCCTTTTCCTTTGAACTCTTTCAGATACAAACCTAGTAGTGATATTGCTGGATCAAAGGGTATGCATAGTTTTGTAGCTTTTTAGGCATGGTTCCAAATTGTTCTCCAAATGGTCGGATCAGTTCACAACTCTACCAACAGGCTTGTAAAACATCTTACATACATTATCTATATTGATCTTCACAACAACCCTAGGAGGTAAGTGCCATTACCATTTACATTTCACAGAAGAGGCTCAGAGAAACTAGGTGACCTGGCTACAGTCACTCAGCTAATTAATATCAAAGGCAAGATTTAAGTTCAATCTTGACATCTATAAAATGAGAATAATAATGATGTCTCTCTGGGAACCAAGAGTGCTAGCCTTTGCCTCACCACCATCTGACACAGACAGGAAGAGTCTATTCTCTGTCAACTCCTGGGGCTCTAGATTAAGTCCTCCATCCACCATGCCTCTATCCCTCCTGCTCTTCAATGCCATAGTTCAACATACTCCAGCCCCAGCCCCAGATTAGTACTTCCCAGAGGCTTAACCAAAGAAGGGATAAGTCCCCATGATTCCATTAACCCTTAACAGTCTTGTATTAGAAGTAGGACTTCTGGTAGGTAGGGAGAGCCAGAGGTCACAGGCAAGTTAATGGCTCTGAAGCCCTGAGCCTCAGAAGCTGACAGAGAACACAAGATTCCCATCCTTCTCACATAGGGGTTGGGCAAAATCTACAATCCACAATTCCCAGAACTTTCACTTGGGCTAAGTATCACTCTGTGCAGCTTTGTCCCACTGAGGTTCCTCCCTTGCCCTGGGGAAAGGATTGGCGTGGCTGAGATGCCAAGCTCATATAATGACTCACTGAGTACACCCCTTGAAAATGAGCTGGTAAAGTCAAGCAGATGGCTGGGATGTGGGTCTTTGCTTCCTTGCCATTTATTTTCCCAGACATGCAGCCCAGCCCAGAGTAGCAGTGATGGAGATTGTCCTCTGATTTCTGGGAAAGGAGACAGAACAGGCTCTATCATGCCTAGGTGAGCTGGGACCTGTGTAGGGACGCTTGGTCCATGACTCATACCAAACAGCGACTTGCAATTTCTGCCTGCTGTCTCTGAGGTGCTTAGCCTGCATTCCAGGAAACAATCAGTGGCCTGCTAGCATATTTTTCACTTTTCCACTGCTAAGGAGGGAGACCCCAGGACGGGGACAAGGAGGTTCGTGTCCACAGATGTCATAGCCTATGTTCCCTCACCCTCTTACAACAGGAGCTGTTGAATAGCATAAGTCCTTCAATGATGGCCCTGATGATATGTCAAGTTAGTGCTCTCCTACTATATGGAAGGAGCAGAGAAACAGGGGGCACTGTAACTACACATCCCCGAGATGTTTATCCTTGGGCATAGTCAGAGGTTCAGAGAATTTGGAGCTGAAAGAGACCTTAGAGGGCATCTAGCCCAACCATTTTACAAATGAGGAAACTGAGGCCCAGAGACTTGCTCAAGATCATGCAGGTAGTGGCAGATACATCCTTGAGCACCTTCAATACAGAGTCCTAGAATCCTTATACCTAGGATGCCTGCAAGTTACAATGCCCTGCCTCTACACTTATACCATACCACCCCCTCTTAATTCATCAGAAAACAAGAAGCATCTATTCATTAGCTTCTATATGCAAGAGAGAGGTGGTGCTGCCTAGTGGATAGAGAACTGGCATTGGAGCTAGGAAGACCTAGATTCCAGTCCTGATTCATACTGGATATGTGACTCTGGGCAAAGCCTGGCACATTGTTGTTGCTATTAATGTTCAGTTGTTTTCAGTCATGTTTGACTCTTCATGACCCCATTTGGGGTTTTCTTGGCAGAGGTACTGGTTTGCCATTTCCTTCTCCAGCTCATTTTACAGATGAGGAAACTGAGGCAAACAGGGTTAAGTGACTTGCCCAGGGTCACACACCTAGTAAATATCTGAGGCTGAATTTCTTTATCTGTGAATTCCCTGAGGTCCAGTTCCCATCTCCATCCGCTCCCTTTGGATAAGGCTTAGTGATATGGTTACCAAGATTGAAAGAGTCCCTACCCTCGTTTCCCAAGGGGATTTCCTTCTTGAGCCACCATCCCTCATTTCCCCACTTCTCATTAAACAAGATCCAGCCCTTCCCTCCCCAGGGACATCTCCTGGTCCTGAGAACTTCCAGCTGGACCCCAATGTCCATTGAAAGTCAGAGAAGAGCTACAGAGAAGAGCTGGGTGATATGCCATCCCCATCTCCCACAGCCCATGAGTCCTCAGGGAAGGGGCAGGGAAAGCAGAAAGTTCCTAAGGAATGTTTCAGGTAGTAGTCATCCATCTCTGGGTGTGCCTTGGGAAAACTCCTGGAAGAAAGTTTCAGATAAGGACCTAAAAAGATGAGAAGGAGAAAGTGATTGAGTCAGGTGGGAATTAAGAAATAGAACCCTAGCAATAGGCTTCTAAAACCCTCTCCTGGGGGCTATGCAGCCCTCTATTTGCAAACTATTAATGGGAGATAGTTTGTGTATACATACATACACACTATATGTATACATATACATATATTGTGTATACATACATACACACTATATGTATACATATACATATACACATATATACACACACACACATACATACACATACATATATGTATATATAGGGAGAGAGTGCGA